ATCAGAATACATGATCATCGGATCCAGACAAAGGATCGCACACTAACAGATGACATTAATTTGCCCGTTAATGGTATCTCATTAAAAAGGGTCAATGAAACTAAATGCTTCGTTGTCCACATAGATGCAAATTTTACCTGGACTACCCATGTAGATAGTATAATCAAAAAGGTGGTATGTAATATTGGCATACTCAAAAGAATTTCTTATGTACTGACCATAGAGAATAGAATTTCAATATATGGATCTACAGTGTATCATTGAACCCTATTTCAATTACTGCTGTCCTGCTTGGGATAGTATTAACGATACCATTACGAGGAAATTACAATCTCTCCATCCATCCATCCGTCCGTCCGTCCGTCCGTCCATTTCATTCATATGGTGCATCCTACGAAGCTAGGCCGAGCATAACGATAGATTGCTTTCCTATTGTTTTGTTAGGGTGGTATTATATTTAGCAAGTCTATGCCACAGCTATCTCTAGCAAAATCTGAACATGCTGTGCAAGTGACAGTTTTCGACAAACCAGTCGGAGGCTTTTCTGTGCAACTGGCAAAACGGTAAGAAGATATGCAGTCATGTTGAATGATATTTGTCATGTGTCTGATATACTAAACGATTTGATCAATGTTTCACTCAAGGTCAACCAATGACCTTAATCAGCAGTGGGGATTCAGCCCTACAGGACAGATCTATTCACTTGCTAAACCAAGTTTTTTCCTTACGTACGTGGCTGGACATGAGGTAACCATGGTAACTGCAAAAGACTGCACTTCTTTGGAACAAGCTGCCTCAGAGTCACAGCCACAAAAGGAAGAGGAAGACTTGGGTAATGGATTAGCAAATTTACAGTTTCTTGATACTAATGAATCAAATGGAGAGAATGGAAATCATAAAGACGAGAAGAGTGAAGACGCTAATAACGTTTCCAATCAGGAAATTGAAACTATACTTCCCGGCTTAGCTGATTTAGAGACGGAGTATGGAGGAAAAACCAATGTTATTGTTCTCCTCCCCAAGCTGTCAGGAAAGGCAGGGCTACAAAGGTGCGAATAACATCATTTTTATCCATTCATGTATCTTGAAATGTGGTTAAACGACATTATTCAAATTACTAGTACTTTTAATCAATAGACCTTTCTCACAAGTCAGCCATATTGGCTGTAATAAGAGATTTTTCGAGTTTGAACAAACATAAACAAAGGCTTTAGTACTCTTGGAATCAACCTCATGGCTGCTGCATGACAAAGGTCTAAACTGTTTGTCGTCAGTGCTGCCAAGATTAAAATGTTTATCTCCTTTTGGAAGTCTAACAGAAAACTGTGTTTTTCATCATAGGTGGGCACTAAAACAAGAAGACTTGGGTTCCATTGGCCAGTGGAAACACACCACTGTAGCAAATCCGGAATGGAATAAGAAGGCCTTGTCTTGGCCCGTTACTAAAGATGGCAATTGGAACACTGTAAGCTATAAATCAAGCATGTCCTTATGACTTCTTTTCTAGAGCTAATTTAACTAATAGAGCAATCAATCTTTTTTGTGCTAAGGCCGCTAACAAACAGGCGCTAAATGGTGGTGTGTCAGGCGGAAGTTAGTATTATTTCGGTCACTTAACCACAACGACAGGTGGACACTTTTCCATATTGTTGTACTTAACCTAGAGAAGAGGCGATCTGTGTGTGTTCAATTACACTGAAGTAAAATATGAAGGAGAGGGTGGAAGTTGTATGGCTTCAGATTTTAGAATACAAATACTTCAACAATATACTTTTATTAGGAATATTCTTGGCCCATGGAGGGGTTTCTCTTACCTTTTGCACCTCCAGTCAAGAAACCCTCTGACAAGAAATCTGCTTTGCCAGGTAAAGTACAGCATCCCATCAGCATGTTAAGTTTGATTCGCAAAGTACAGCATCCCATCAGCATGTTAAATTTGATTCGTACCAGCCGAGTTGACCGCGTTCACCGAAAGGAATTATGGGTCGAATATTTTTGGTTAGCATTTTCTGGACGGGGACTCAATGCAATATATAGATTTTTCTTATCGATTGAATTCCGAGTTCCGCCATGAGTTCGACTAGTGTTTAAAACCAATTTAATGAATGAAGAATTCGTATTTCATTCGGCTCCCTTAAAGAAAATACAACGTTTAATCCTCAATTCTCATTGGTTGATCTTGAGTTCCTTCTGAAGGTCAACTCAGCTGTTATGTAGTAGTAATCTCGTTAAGAATCAATTAAAGTTGACAGACTAAAGATCAATGATACAACAAATAGTCGTTTATTTAAGGTAAGTTTAAAGTGATAAGGGGACGACAGTTCGAAGGCCAAATGCAAATGCATTTGGATTAAAAACTTAATGTTTGTCAGTTTATGTGTCAGTTCATCACTAACACTCACCACGACTATTGAATAGTTAACTGTTATGTTATTTTTTAACATATGTACTTTAGGCTCAGCTGTCAGGCTGCGAGTGATGAAAAACGGTGATTCAGATCAAACTAGGGTGGCTGTTGTTGTTGGTCCAGATTTAACTAATGTAAGGATGCTTTCTTTCTTTCTTTCTTTCTTTTTTTTTTATCAGAAAAAGTAGATCAAAGTTTTTTGTTCATACTAGATATTTATTTAGTAAAACCGTAAAATATCGTGCAGATTGTTGTACTTACAGCTTTTACAAAGGAATGTGTGTTGGTAAGCAAGTTTTGTCTGACAGCATTCATTTCTTTATAAAATTTCATGTTAAAAAACGTCATATTCTTCAATTTTTAAGTGCGATCTTCACGAAACTTTGCAGTTTTACTAATATGTGTATGACAACTTTGAATATCAACTCCTTTTTCAAATCAAATGAATTTGTCTACAATAATAATAATAATAACTTTATTTACGTGTCGAAATTTTCTAGTTTACAATAAATTGTGAACTAATAGAGGACACCTATCTTCCTATCTTCCTATCTATACATCATAAAACTCCCTCCCATTCCATCTACCCTTCATATGTAATACAGCGTGAGGTCACATGATAAAACGGCAATATCACAGCGTTGGACAATCACAAACAAAACCCTAAATTCCAAAAAAGACTTTTAATAGTTTATAAAGAATCTTCAGAAAACGCATCGAATGAATAAACATTTATCTCAGAAACTTCATGTCTTATGGGATTTTCTTCTTCCATATCAGTTCCTCACTTGTTTTCGCCTAGATTTGTCATTGAGCCAAAGCGAGAACCACGCAGAATTATTTTGCTCCAATTATCTCTTGCTWAGGCTTATTCTACTGTATAACTATCATTTGCTTGACTGCATGTTCATCTCCTTTCTCTATCTGTTTATCAGATGTGGCATGATGTTAGTGATGCCAATCGGAGTTTCAAGACAAAAAGGTAAAAACCTACTGATTGCAAAAGTTCAAACTATATACTCCTAAGAAATACAGCACTTAAGTGTATTTTCATACCGACATTTTAAATATATATAAAATAAAATGAGCTTAGAACTCATGCCAGGATGGAGGGGCGTCTCTAGGTAAATTGTTGGAACAGCGTAGTTTCCATTCGTGAAGTCACATTCCAGCTCTCTGATTTTCAACAATGGTGGCGAGTTTGAAGACGGATAGATGACAGATAAAAGGTTCGAAACGTTCTTATTGAAACGATTTTCTCTCTTTAGACTTAAACTTTTTTTCGGAGCTTGTTCAACGTTAGCTTGTTTTTCTTTCCTATTATCCATGATAAAAAATAGCCAATCAGCGTGCGAGATATTTGCAAGTTATTGCAAGCTATTGCAAGGCGTTTGATGATTTTGGTTAACTATTTTTCGATGTGAGCTGACCAAGGCAAGTTACTTGAAAAAAACCACACCAAAGTACTTGAATTCATCCGCCGAGTATACTTGGATGGAAAAGGCTGAGATGTTGCTAGTTTATTTTTTCTTACTTCCAAACAGCATTGCTTTAGACAATTTTGATGCCAGCAGTAGAAGAGGAGAAATAGTATAAGAGCCTATCATCAGGATACTYGAGTATGCTGGACAACGTCAGGTAGATCGTTTATGTAGATGATTTGATTTAGAGCACTGTTTTGGAATTACTGGGAACTGTCTAAACTTACTTAAATCCTACCTAGAAGGCAGAAAACTGAAGGTCGTCGTTGATGGAGTTTATTCCGAATCCAACGATCTAAACTATGGCGTACCGCAGAATATGTCCTGGGCCCAAAGCTTTTCACCACGCATGTACTTACGTTCACTGGGTGACATTGCCCGCAGCCATGGGGTTCAGTTTCATGTGTACGCTGACGATTGTCAACTCTACATAGCTTTCACAAGGGAAAAGACTCCAACGATCAAATCTAAAATGGAAACCTTACTGATGGAGATAAGAAGAGGGATGTCTACTAATATGCTGAAGCTCAACGATGACAAAACTGAAATCATTGCTTTAGAAGGTCCTCGTCGCAATCGTGTTGAACTACCACCGGTGATAATTGGCAATGAAGTGATACCTGTCTCCAAATCTGTTCGCCTTCTTGGTGTAGACATGGATAGTAACATGACACTTAAAGGTCATATTTGCTGTGTTGCGAAAAAGTGCTTTGCTACCCTGAAAAAAATGTTCAAGATCAGGCGGTGCCTCAATGAGACTGCTGCCAAAGCAATGGTTCACACTATAATAATATCTAACATTGACCACTGCAACGTCCCCTTATGTGGTCTGCCACAGTCTACACCAAACTATCTACCAAAAATCCTGAAGATGTCTGCACGTTTTATCTCACAAAGTGCAAATACGACCATATAACCCCAGTGTTGAAAGATCTACATTGGCTGCCTATTGAACAGCGTATAGAGTATAAAGTTCTAGTGATGACCTTCAAGGCGATGAATGAACTCTCTCCACAATACATCGAGGAACTAATACAGAAACGACCTACGAAGCGAACCAGAGCTGACAACAATAATGACCTAGTAGTTCCCACTATTAAACGGAACTGCTTTGGTGGAAGAGCATTTATGTACATGAATTTATCCCAAACTATGGAATACACTTCCCAAAGAACTAAAGAGATGTAATGACATTCGTGACTTTAAGAAAAATCTTAAAACGTTCCTATTCAGGAAAGCTTACAAAGATATGTATTAACTATGTATAGAGACTCTATTTTTTTCCTAATTATCACTATCATAATATTACCATAATTTTTATCATCATTTAAAAATGTAATATCCTTTGTTACTTCGAGAAATTTTGAACATTTTGAACATTTTTGAACATTTTGGACAATTTTGAACATTTTTGTAGATGCATGTTTATATAACTTAAAGTAGAGTTTAAGTTTCTGTGAAACCCAGGTACTCTGGTACGTCCTCCTGATTCCACCCTTGATGTACTAGATAATTGGAAAATTAAACGAGACTTACCTGTAAGTTGAAGTTTGATTGAGATTCTATCACATGACATTAGAAGGAAGGAGATCTCATGAGATAGCACAGCGCTTGCGCAAGTCATTCTTTAAAACGATGTTTGTTGCATCAACATAAAATCCAGAAATATATACATTTATATACCCCAGCTGATATAATGTATAAATAGACAAGGGCGGGAAGAGGCGGGCATGTGATCTCCTTCCTTCCAATGTCATGTGATAGAATCT